CCACGTGTGCAACCAGCAGCGCTTCGGCTACATCAACGTCCCCATGAAGGCCCACCAGACGCTGGAGGACGAACGCACCAACTTTGTGCATCTCACGCTGGAGGCCATGGGTGAGCGCCCATGGGTGGTGGGGTCCCGGAGGTGTCCCCTGCCCCAGGGGTGATGGGGACTCGGTGCTGGTCCCTGGGGCAGGGTTGTCAGCCCCCGTTCCCAGCCAGGGGGATCTGGGCTCCACTGAAGGGGTGACCCCTCTCTCTGCAGTGGATGGCCCCCCCATGCAACGTTCCAGACATATTTCCATCCTCCCCAAGCCGCTCACGAAAATGGGCTTTGATGAGGTAAGTGCCCAATGGACCCCGCCATGTCCTCCTGTCCATCCCTTGGCTGCATCTGTCCATGGCAAAGCCCATGGGCTTTGGCTGAGCTCCCTGTCCCCCATCCTGTGGTGGCCGGGCAGGCTGTGTCCCCCCATGTCAACATGCCACCTCGGTGGGGCTCTCCCCTTCCTCCCCAGATTTTCCTCATCAACCTGGTGCGGAGGCCGGACCGGCGCCAGCGGATGCTGGCATCCCTTCAGGAGCTGGAGATCGCCCCACGAGTGGTGGATGCTGTGGATGGGAGGTGACTGCATGGGGACGTGTCCCCACTCTGCCAGCCTCCAGTGTCACCCTGGGGAGGGGACAGGGGTGGCTGGAGGGGACGCCTCGCCAATGCAGCTCCTTGCCTTGCAGCGCCCTCAACAGCAGCGACATCAAGGTGCTGGGGGTGGACCTGCTCCCCGGGTACTATGACCCCTTCTCCGGCCGCACGCTCACCAAGGGCGAGGTTGGCTGCTTCCTCAGCCACTATAACATCTGGAAAGAGGTACAGGGCCACAGGGTCCCCAAGGGCCACCAGCACGGGGCAGGGACCCTGTGAGCATCGCCTCTGGAGGACCTGGGGAGCGGGTGTCCTGCAGGGGGAATGGGCCCAGTATGGCCCAGTGCAGCGTTGGGATGGGTTTGCACCTCTGCCCCCTCCCCACAGATCGTGTCCCGGGGGCTGGAGCGGTCGGTGGTCTTCGAGGACGACGTGCGCTTTGAGTCTGCCTTCCCGGCACGGCTGCAGCAGCTGATGGAGGAGCTGGAGGGGGCACAGCAAGACTGGGACCTCATGTAGGTGCTGGGGCTGGGGGCATGCAGGTTGGGGGTCCCTGAGGCTGGGTCTCATGGCTCCATATCCTCCCTGCTGCAGCTACCTGGGGAGGAAGCAGGTGAATGCAGAGGATGAGGTGCCTGTGGAGGGCGTGCGGAACCTGGTGGTGGCCGGGTACTCGTACTGGACGCTGGCCTATGCCATCTCCCACCGCGGGGCGCAGAAGCTGCTGGCCGCCCAACCCCTCTCCAAAATGCTGCCGGTGGATGAGTTCCTGCCCATCATGTACGACAAGCACCCCAAGTAAGGAGTGGAGGGAGCAGGAGGGGTGCTGGCGGAGCGTCATGGCCGTGTCAGTGAGGGACCATGTGTTTCTTCTCTGCCGTCACCATCCCGCCCTGTCCCCCCCTCGCCAGCGTTACTCATGCTGGAGGAAAACATCTGTAGCATGAGCTCATTCCCCCACCGGCCGCTGCCTGGCCGCCGGCTGCTGGAAAATGGCCCCCTGCCAGCATGGGGTGGGGGGACGGCGATGGAGATGGAGCTGGGGCTTGGTGCTGGCCCCGCACAGGGGTCTTGGCCCCATGGCAAGGGGGGAGCAGCCCCTTGTACCCCAGTGCGGGGGGGCTGTGTGGTTCCCCAGCCCTGGCTGTGGGTCTCAGCCCCATATTGGGGCACCTCTGTGCCCTTCTTCCCGGGCAGGGGTCAGCAGCAAGGCCATGTCTGGGGAGGGGGAGGCAATTTAGGGGATGGGCAATTGGCTGAGGGTCCCAGGCAAGAGGGAGGTGGAGGAATCAGCGAGCAGGATGGCAAAACAGAGGGATTAGGAGCGTAGAAGGGAGGCTGGAGTTGGATGGAGGGGCGGATTAGCGCTCTGGATGCGAACCAGGAGCAGCTGGGAGTCCCATGCTCACCGGGATAACAGCACCAGACAGCCTTGGCCTGGGGCCAGCCGGGATGAGGCCGGTGGGGTGCTGTGACACCCCCTCTGTGCCAGGGCCGGCCCTGAGCCACCGAGGCTGTGGGGAGAGGTGGATCCCATCCCCTCCGCAGTCCCTCCACGCTCCCTCCCCAGCCAGGCTCTGCAGGCGGCAGCAGCGTGGGGCAGCTCCCCCAGCTCAGCTGCCTTCCCTGGATCCCCTCCCCGATGCCTTCCCCAGGCGGTCGGTACGGTTTTCCCACCTCTTTTTTCTCCGCCGGGCCATGCTCCGTAAGCAAATTTCTCCTCTTGGGTCTGCTCCTCTTTCCCCAGTGAGGATTACAAACAGCACTTCACCCCCCGGGACCTCCTGGTGTTTTCGGCTCACCCCCTCCTGGTTTATCCCACCCATTACGCTGGGGACAGCAACTGGCTGAGCGACACCGAGACCTCCACAATCTGGGACGACGATGCCAAGAAGACCGACTGGGCTGGCTCACAGAAGACCCTGAGGGACTCGCGGGGCGGTGCTGGCCACCTCCGCTCCACCACCCGTGATGAGCTCTGATGGTGAGCGAGGCCATGGGACCCGGGCTCGTGGTGCTGGGGACAGGGGACAGAGCGGCTGCAAAGCATCTCCCTGCGGGTGCTGTGTTCTGAGGTGTCCCAGGTGCCTCATTTCTTTCTGCCGTGTGGCAGCAGCTCTCCCCATCTGCCTCAAAGCATTGGGAAACAGAGATGAGAACTTCTCTTCCAGGCAGGGAAAGGGATGGGGATGCAGATGTCCCATGTGGGGCTGCACTGGGCTGGAGGGGATCAGAGGGCTCCCTGAACTTGTGCTGCTCCCAAATGCCTCAAGTGAGGAAAGGACAACGGTCCTTTGCCTCCTGCAAAAATCACCCTGGTTTGGAGAGCTGGGGCCATCTCGCAGGGGAAAATTTCACCCTGATGTTGCTTGCCTCCCCAAAAAACGTGTCTCCATGGGGCAGCTGTGCAGGCAGCGGCCCCAAGGCAGCACAGCCATGGTTAACGCCAGGTCACACTTTCCCTGTCTGAGGCCGCTTGTGCTGGCAGCGGAGCCTCCTCTGGAGCAGCCAGACTGGGGGAGGCTGGAAAACAACCCTCCCACCACTTCTCCTGCAGGCGTGAACTCCTCGGGCCACTTCTGCCTTGGCCGCTAATGTTTGTGTCCTTCCCTCCCAGGGACGAGGGATTGTGACCCAACCGGGAGCACCGTGGGCCAGTGGCCTGATCCTGCCCGCTCCTGCTTGAGATGCAGCTGCCCTGGACCGATCCCTCAGGGTCCTTCGGATCTGCATGTGGTGAATTCACCCAAGGCAGGATTTGCCCCAGGGCTCCTGGAGAGCCCTTTCCCTGCCGGATGGTGGGACTGGGGTGAGGACACAGCTCTAGGACCGCCCGGATGCCAACAGCTCCAACATCTCCCATCAGCTTGGACCTTGGGGAGTGTTTTTCAGGCTGGGGGCTGGCTCCTGCAGTGGCACACGTGGCTTCCTGCCACCGACCGGGCTTGTTTCTCACCTGTGCCGTGTCTGGGCTGAAGCCCAGGGAGGATTAAAGCAGACTGTGTTTGAGATGATGTGCTGGGTGCTGGCTCTGTCCAGTGCCATTGCTCCACATAATGTCCCTGGGGCACACCCTGCTGGAGTCACCTTGGAGCTGCGGTGCTGAGGCTCTGGTGGTTCCAGGGTTGCTTTGGGAATTAAATCTGTAACAGGGAAAGGGAGGGAGGAAGGTGAGGTTGGGAGACAGAGATTGGAGGATTCCCTTGGGGTCCAGGAGTCAAAAAGGGGGTGGTATTTCTGTGGAGCTCAGCTTTCTCCTGGGAATGCTGGTGGAAATTATTTCCCTCATTGGCGCTGGTGTTCTCAGCGGAGGGTTTGGCTTTGGGACTGACAACCTGACACCAGCTTGAGCACCGAGATGTGTGGCCGCGTCCTGCTGGGCTCCGGCATCTGTCACCTTTGTGGCCAGCTCTGGAGGAGTGTTTGCTTTGCAAGAGCCTGGGCTTGTTTGGTGCTAAACTTCAGCTCCTCCGCAGGACCATGTTTGGTTGAAAACAGGGCTTTCTGGGGTGGAGAGCAATTTCCTTAAAAACACTGGAACTAGCCCTAGTCTGGGTGAACTGGGGAGATGTGAGCTCCCTGCCAGGCCCCCAGAGCTGGTGCCCCTCTCCCCCCCAGCTGGCTGCCCCATTTAGCCCTGGAGCAGCAGTGGGGTGACCCCTGGGATGGTGGGTTGCTGCCTTCACCCAGGGTTTGGGGTGCTATGCCCCTCTTCTCTCCACAGCATGACGAAAGCGATGGAGCAGTGGGTGGAAGCCTCAGCAGCCAAGACCCACAGTGGGATGTCTGAGGCCATCAAGTGCTCCAGGAGAGCAACATTTGGGGCAGGATGATGTTGGAAACTCCAAGGATTTGGTTTAAAACCACCTAACTCAAGAACTGAGAGGCCAGGCCTGAAGCTCACTGCAGCTCAGTGGGAGCAGCCCCTGCGTGCCCCTGAGCTGTGAGATTCCAGGCGATTTGTGCTTTACACAGTTTCTCAACAAAGCTGAAGTGGTTTTGGATCCTGTGGAGGTCGCTCTCATCGCTCCCCCCTTCCCACTGGAAGCTTTCTTCCAGCCTGGGCTGGTGAAACAGGGATGGGAACACAGATTTGAGCTGCAGAGAGCCAGGGACAGCCAGAGTTGGGCAGGCAGTGCAGGGGAGAGAGTTTATTTAATTTCTGTGCCAAACTGCCGCACAAAGCCGCTGCAGGGGTTTAAGTGGGACACGAGCTTCCCAGATCTGTGTGGGGATGGAGAAGGGCTGCCCCAGCACCGGGCCAAGCTGCCAGGCAGGGCGAGCTCTGCTCCACACCACAGTCACCCTGGAGAGTCCACAGAGCCCTATCCATTGGCCACACAGGTCCCCTGGGGGTTGCATCAGCCCCTGTCGCCTGGCTCCCCCGTGGGTGCTCTCCTCTGCAGGATGTGCTCCAGCAGGAACGTCGCTGCCTGGGTCAGGATCTGCTCCAGCCTCTCCTGCTCCTCAGTGCTGAACGGGGCCAGGACGTAGCTGGACACTGTCCCTTCACCCTCCGGCCGCCCGATGCCGACCCTGAGCCGCGTCATCTCCTGGGGAGGAAGAGGGAGAGCTGGAGGAGCTGGACCTCAAGGGCCTGGCTGAGCCAGAGCTGAGGCAAGGGCACAGCTCTGCGAGTGAGTGACAAGGCAGCAGCCCCTCATGTTTTCCAGGTGGTTTTGAGTGCTTGCTCCAAGAAACATGATTTTGGAAGAGGCTTTTGCTGGGCTGCGCTGAGATCCCGGGCTCCTGCCAGGCCTGGCAGAGCTGCTTGAGCTAATTGTTTCCATGTCCTCCACAGCGGCCAAACTGACATCAGCCCTCGGGAAAGCAGAGGAGGGGAAGGAGAAAAGGGGGAGAGGAAAGGGAGCAGGGGCTTGTCTGACTGGCATCAGAAGAATGGGAGAGGGGGAATGAAAAGACATGCATTGGGGATTGATCCCCTTCCACCAAGGCCCACTCACATTGGAGTGCAGAGTACTGATGCAGGATCGGACCCCGTTGTGCCCCCTTGGGAGAAAAGGAGAAAACCCAGTGTTAGTGTGTAAAAGACCACCCCTCCAGTATGGTCTTGGAGGTCTTTTGCTGCAGCGACTAGGATGGTCCCAGCCATGGGCTGCAGCCCCACAACCTGGCTCTGCCCCTGGGGCTGAGAGCAGCTGGCTGGGGGGAGCAAGGGGAAGCAGGGCTGGGACAGCACGTTCTGCGTTGTCTCAGCTTTTGCTGCAGCTGGTGCATGCGTGACCGAGGGCTGGAGCCCAGTACCATCCCTGCCCCATCCTGCAGTAAAAGATTTCCTAGGTTAAATGTCTCATGGCTGACCCAGGACCTGGCGCTGGGACAGGCAGAGTGCTATAAAAAGCCCATGTGGTGAAACCCACAGCCATTTCCAGGAGGCTCCCAGCCCACAGCCACTTCCAGGAGGCTCCCTGCCCTTCCTGCCAGGGCAGGAACCAGGAGGCTGCCCAAAGAGCCATCTGGTGCCTCTGCAACTGGGATCAAACCCATGACTGGTGCTGGGGCTGAAATCACTGCCAGGCTGGTGAGACAGGACCAGGAAAAGCCCATGTGCCTGTAAGGGCATGGCAAAGTCTCCAGCCAGCTCACACAGTCAGAGAACTGGGGCCCACCTTGCACTGCCTCCCAGCTTGATTGCCACCTTGCCCAGGGCCTTATCCAGGTCATCGTGAACCAGGTAAATGTCGGCTGGGTGGAGGTCGTAGATCTTGGCTTTGGAAACAGAAATGCAACACGAGAAATGAGGGAGGCACATTGAGATAGACCCACCAGGCCCTGACCCTGCAGAGCAGGACC